GCCTATCCTCAGCCAGGTGAATTACGCCCATATCATATCATATTTGAGGCCTTTTTTAATATTATCCTCACAGGCCTCGCAGTGCTCTTCCCCTTTAGGTTTCGCGATTAAAATTTTGTGCGGATCTTTCGCCTACACCATGCGGGCTAGTTGGCTCGGCAAACGATCATCATAAAGTAGCCTAAGTAAGACACAACAAAGAGTAGTTACCATGGTTACACTGCAGTTGTAATCCCCAAGATGAAGGTAGATTCAGGACGGCGAAGATGGAGCTGGGACGACCCGAGTCTGCGTTGAAAGTAGTTAACAGGTGCAAGGGGACAGACCTTTTATGTTTATGACGATGTAATGGCTTGAGAGGTGAAAAATTCTTTTCTACGTAAATATTATAGAACGCTGGCACAAGCGGACTCGTTTCGTTTATACGCGTATATCCGTGAACTATGTGTTTGTCTTGGCTTAACGCGACTAAAACGGCTTGCTTACATTCCTGTCTCTCATAACAGAGCGAAGTGACTTAAGCAAACACGTGTAACGTTACACGTTCAGGGGGAGGGGGAGGGGGGTTCGAATGATACAGTCTTGTTAGAAATGTTTACTGGAAAATATACAAGTATTTAATCAATTCGAAAAGAGTTCCTTGCGTTGCAGAAATAAAACTGACCATAAATTTTTATAAAGACCCCTCTTTCAGTTACTGGCATGCAGGGAGACAAGAACACGTATGCCACACACACACGAATATAATTAATATTTAGTTATCAACTGATGCAGTTTAAATCACACGTGTTACACGACGTTGCATGTGATGGGAAGCTGATCATGAATAATATATAAAAATATGAAAAGTTCCATAATTTTCACACTACACCAAATATTATTAGGACAAACAAATTAAGGAGAGGAGATGGGCGAGGCATGTAGCGCGTATGGAGGACATAAGAAAGGCGCACAGAATTTTAGTTAGATAACACGAAGCGATGAAATCACTCTCAAGACTTGCTAACTTTTCACCGATACTTGTATTTAATAACGTCGTTTCAAATACAGAGATTATACATGAGTGACATAGAAAGATGAATAAGTAAGCAGACGGTCGTGGACTACATAAAAGTACAGATAATATTAGAAATTTTGAAACGAAAATTCCACAATGTGACGGGATGCATGACTGCTCAAAATTATACACACACACAGCGGCGTCAAAATGATTTACGTACATTTAGGGGCGTCATATCTGGCCCAGCATTTGGCTCGTATTGGAGTAAGCGTAGTTAAGATATCCAGAACAAGAACGGCTGACAGGCCTAATTCTCTGATTATATGGTTCATGTGTACGGCTAATATTTAGTGTCTGTCATGCATAATACAACTTACCAATATTTTCAGACTGGAATATGAAAAACATAGTTGTAACATATGTAAATAGCTTTGAGGCCACATTTGCATATCAGTACTGTTACATAAACAATACGGCTCGTTGCACCACAGACAAGCCTTCAGGTAGGAAACACAGGCAACGCTGCCATAGCAACGAGCTCTTGAAAGCTGGCCGGTTCATCCCCACGTGCGCGATACACGAATACCCGGACATCCAGTACGCCCAAGTACGCATAGGACGTGGGCCCATGTGCACTTGTTCAGTTCTTTGCAATCCTAATGAGAATATTTGGACAGACGAAAGTTGGAGTAATTGAAGGTTCGGACAATTTGCAAAATTATTAGCATCACAAAATTGCGTTATTCACCTATCTTATTACGGTGATCTAATATTGAATGAGATGGGTTGGACACGAAGCACGCATGAAGATATGCTAAATGCGTATAACCTGAAACGAATAAAAAATCTGGGAGATCTAAACGTAGATGGATGGATAATATTAAAATGGATCTTAGACGATCCGAGTGTGAGGGTGTGAAATGGATTCATCTGACTCAGGATAGGGACTAGTGGCGGGCTCTTGTGAACATGATAACAAACCTTCAAGTAGCCTACCGCAAGAAATAATTTCTCGATCAGCAGAGGGAGAAAGAACTTTTCAATAAGGAAACTTCGCCATAAATTTACTTAGGTTTTTTTTCTTTTTGCGATTTTGAATAATTTATTGCCTTGATTTGTTTACCGAAGCTGCAAATCTATTGTTGAAAACAGTTCAGATAAAACGAATATATCTTAATTACACTGTATTTTAATTCCACTCTTTAATTTAACTGAACCAGGCATTCATTTGGGAAAATACACGAAGATTATTTTCAGCTATATGCAAGGTGCGGCTTACGTATACCGAAGCGAATCTGACCGAAATTTCGTCGGTACTTCAGGACAGACAGACGGATGCTACTCCCTGTACTTCGTGCAAAAACTACACAACGTCTGGAGCGTATTCGACGATCTTCCAACCTTATGAAAACCGAAGCTCGTCTAAATGCTGTTTAGTAATTCGGACCGCACCGCAAAGAAAACATAACTCTTCACCATTAAAAAGACCAACAGCTAAACTATTCTTAAGAAAATAATCAGTGTTTATTCTGAGAATCAAACGAAACCCATAAATTCAGTCTGTAGGCAAATGTTAAACAAGGCTGTAAATATAATTATCATTATGCATCAAAGAATTAAGGCATAATCCAGTTTGTTTGTCAGCTCTCAGAAAAAAACATGGGAACAAGTAACAATACCCACACATTTTGAAATTTTAAAGAATTCTTCGTGAGGACAAGCCCCTCCCGAATCGTGATACGACAGAAATACAAAGCTTAATATTCAACCGTGTCCATTCTTCATACACGGCTACAATATTACAACGCCCAAATGAAGTACCCTGGAGTTGGTAGGTGCAGGAGTCATTATGGCGGCCGGGTGGGGGGTTATGGGGGGGCTGAGAAGTGACAGGGAACATATCTTCTGCTGCTCGTCGCAATATTAATGGCTTGAACACGTGCACAGAACACAAAACAGTAATTATCCAGCACATGACATCTGTAAGTCGGAATACGCAGCGCTTCTTATGATCAGTTTCTGGGTTTTGTACAAGAATCACGTTAATCGCGAGTTCTGACGAATTTCTTGAACGACTATGTTAAAATTCGAAAGCGAAGGCGGGTAAGTGACTGTTTGTCGCGCAGTAAAATACGACATTGCCACCATGACACACGCTGTCTTCTGCGCAGATGAGTTAAGGAATCTCGCAAGACACGACGCCGAGAACCCGACGACAAACGTCGCGACGCCCACCAAGAACGCAATGCTTTGTAAAAATTAACCTCGGAATGTCATCAACCACGTTAGAAAATTAACGGCAATCTTCGTGACGACGCTAAAAGACGACATATTTGAGACACGGACACCAGGATGCCAATGGGCAAGATGTTTGAAACCGACGTCTGGCGTCGGAACGCCGCAAGAGACGCATTTATCACAGGTTGATGAATTTGAACTCAAAATTGGAAAACCGATGCCAATCATCGTGATGGCTTGAAAAGACGCCACATCCCCCGTAGGTAAGCTTCCGGATGTCAACTGAAATGACGCAGGAAAACGGAACATCGTAATTCGATCGGACAAAGACGCTGGGAAACAGATGCCAGGTGTAACGACGCCAATCGTCATGACGCCAGGAAATACGTCATGTTTAGTGCAGGTGGGTTTCGGGATGCCACTGAACATGCCATCGGAAAGAGAAGCCAAGCGTCGCGAAGCCTGACGCCACGACGCAGATTCAACCTGTGGCAACAAGGACCCCTGAAACGTCGGTCTCAACCTCTGGCAACAAGGACCCCTGAAACGTCGGTGAACTTCTACCGGATTACACGGCGCAACAATCCAGAAGACAGCCATCTTCGGACTCACTGCAGTGAGAGCATAAAATCCTACGCGAATGCCTGCAACAGTGTAACTAGATTATTCGCATAACACAACTGTCGGAGAAGTTGCCGACCGTACGCGGCGCAAAAGTTCGCAAACAATTTAGCGTGATGGCGTTCATAATTACGTAACGAGCAGAAACAATTACAAACTTGTTAGCCAGATACAACCCAAGAAAGCGTTTCAAACGAGTCACACATTTATGAATGTTTTATAATAAGCCGCCAGAGAAATTGCTGTCCTGAACTTTTCTGTCTTCCGGTGTCCAGTATATTTTATCATCCTTAGTGTTAGAACGGACGTACATACATGACCAGCCCAATATGCTTGCATTATATGCTCTTAGTGCGAAGAACGCGCAATAAGTCTGTAGATATTCGGTAAAGAGTGCAAATTATAAAGCTCCACATCATTAAATTTTCTTAATTTTCATGTTTCTTTTTCCAAGGCAGTTAAGACATTTTTTTATTACCTAGTCCTCGGATATTCTCAGTCTATGTTCTTGCAAAGGGTTGCCAAATGTAATGTGTAAAACAATGTTCAGTACAATATAATTTCATAAACACCATCACCACCACCACCAATACCATCACCAAAAATACATGTAATCACCGATAACGCAGGTAAACTACAGATACTCGGTTCATATTTCGGTGATTACAAAAAAGAATTACACCTCAGTATTATCCTCCCATCTACATCTAGGTTTCTCAGGTGGACTGTTTCCGATCACGTACTGGATTAATTTTAAGTTTAATTCTTAAATCTGAATTATAACTCTGGTTCAAACAGACGTAAATAATCAGTGAAGGTGAAGTAATTATTAATAAACCAGACAACCGTAAACAAAATGAACCATAACCATAATGAATGCGATACCGTATTCAACAGCTTATCATTGAACCGATTCTTACCGATGTCTCGGCGATACATCGATTACTTTGCTGGTAGGTCTTCAGGTCTACTGTGGCCAAACCGCAGATAAACCTGGATCATTTACAAACTAAGTAATTAGTTATGAGGAGCAAAGCTGTTAAAATGAAGCTTATGTGTGTTACTTAAGCAATATGCGCGCGATTTATGTTAGGTACAAAGCAGCAGGAGAAATATTTTTCGTAATTTTTCGGTTACTTACATCGTCGATGTCAAATTCGGAGGGCAAGTCACCAGAGCCAAACCCCTGAAACGAGTAACGAAACAAACACACCCAAAATAAAGAAATAAATCACAAAGACATAACACAAATCACATAACAAAACAAAAATAACAGTAACAAACTAATGAACTAAACATAACAGGACAAAAGGAAAAGATAAAATATTGATTCAAATTAGTCAGTGCATTTTTTTTTTGTCAAAACATTTCATTATTTACGTAAAACTAGACAGGAAACTGAAAACAGATAAAACCTTTTTCTATCGGAAACGTTTTTCGGTGACATACATTTGTCCAAAATCCAATGCAAAATTGTCTTAAATCTAAGGAAAGGAAATGCCGATAATTTCATACTATACGAATCTGTTTGAATTTTTACGGGTTTTTTTGTTTATATAATTTCGTTCTTTATTGTGATCCCTGTAGTTTTACCTCAGAAGAAACAATTCCGTCACAAGTGCAATAGATTACATGCCCCGCCCACCTAATTCACCTTGATCTGACCATCGCTGTATTATTATTTAAGCAACAGATATTTCCTTTTAAGCTCGCACATTAAGCGACTACCGCACAAAACTATTTCAGGTGGTATTCTGCCTCGCACAAGAACCACTGTAAATCATTCCTTAAGTTTCTGACAGACGTGAGGAAAGTCTAAAGCACCTGGTAAGAAGTCACAATTGCCAGGAGACGACCAAAGAACAGAACGTAACAGAGACAGGAAGAAAAGGCGGTAAAAACGAAAGTGTTGCCACTACAAAGGGGTCAGTGATACCAACTGCTGAAGGTCGCGGACGGAACGTGACAAAGACATTCGATGTACACAGCAAAAACGGCCTAACAGACCTGCTTAATAATATCATAACAGAGTTATAAAACAAATTTGAACTGACTTTAACAAAAGTTTGGCAATGAGCTGTGTCGTGGTGCGAATAATAGGCCACGGCCACTTATTTTCGCATCATTTTTCACTCATGTTTCAAGATCTAACTTCATTAGAACGTGTGTAGCAAAGCCTGTAACAATTAAAGGTGAAGTAACCTGAAAAAAGGAGAATTTCGTCTGAGTCAGGAAGAAAAAATAAGTCCCCTAAAATCTCGATTCATTAAAAATATACAAGTATAATCACACAATTAATAAATTAGCTTAAGGGTAAGTGCTAATTTTAATACATTACAGATGGTATGATACATAGGCCTTAAATAAATAATTACATTTTGGTTGTAATGTTTTCACTTTACCACTTTGGGCATACTTATATACCCATTTACCTTGGTATCGGAGAATTAATAGATGGGTCGAATTCAGGCTTATAAACATTCGTTCCTTTTGATCGCAAATATTCATACTTTGATACATCTTAAAGGCCACGTTCTGTCGTTTCGTGATTCCTGGTTATGAGACATAGACATATTTCATTTTTGTCTGTGTTTATTCCTTAGTGAAGCTGTTTACTAGATTTTCGCATAATTTCTGCGTTTTCTGCTTGTGTTTGCCTTCCTTAATTCACTTCTTTGCCTACATTCTATCAGCAGAAAATCCGTGTTTTCTTTGCGTGTCTACCTCATTAGCGTACGTGAGTAACTGATGTTTTCCACTCGGTTCCAGTACGTAAGGACAAGAACACACAAATTTCGTAAGGAAAGAAGGCCTTCAAGTCTCTCGCGTGCTCCATTCACCTCTAAAATACTAGTTTCATCGGGTCCACCCATACGACACGCCTTGCCTAGACATTCATTCCATTGTGCCCCGGAGTTCAATGAAGAGTGGAATCTGTGGCTTGCCGTGGTCTTCTGAGCTGTGACGTAACCAAAACTTCGAAGAAATGCAATGGCCTCAACAGGTTCCTCCGATATTTCGGTAACCACCTACAAGACTACTCAACATCACAGCTCAGAAGACCACAATCGACATTTTCACCGACGTGAGAATCTCAGATCTCATACTCTGCAATCAGAACTCACTCTCAGTGATCTTTCATATTTAACTAATCTTCATATAGAGGCTCCTTCATGCAGACACAAATCATTAATGTAACTCAAAACACACGTTGCTGTAACACTAATTACAATGCACACACGCCATTGGATAAAGTTACATCTCCTCCCTGTTTTATTGCGTTAAGCAGTCACAATGTCGTAAACTGCTTTAAACAATATATTTAAATCGCTTCCGTAAGATAAGCTGATTTTAATACTCGACAGTTTTAGATCAGAATGCTGCAGTACACACCCAGATTCCAATACGCGTATTGAAATCCGTCAAGTAGCTTCGGAAATAAGGCATACGGACGAACAGAAAACCTCATTATGCGTTCATTTCATCACCGTTAAAGAGAAAAGGACGTGAAGGAATTACATAAATAAATTCTTAAGGAGTACGAGGGCGATACATATTCTTCATACGCGAAGAGTCAAAAAGGTCTTCTGGCTGCACATATTCCACTCATGCCGTTAAGGAGCGTTCGAACGTAACATCGCCCATGAAACAATAGGTATTCACCGCGGTGGGCACTGGCATACCTGGCCACTCAGCCGGCATCGCTGCATTCTTTCCAACTCAAAGGATGCATTAATCAATCAAGCTTCATGAAGTCAGCTGAATCCAACTGATACACGTGGGAACCACTTGAATGTCCACGCATCAACGCGTGCCTTATTAATGCGCGACTCACAAGGAACTCGTATATTAAAGCCCTGCATAGTTCTGGTTCGTCATCATAACGCCAGGGATCTCTAGAGTTCCGATTTGATGTCTCATTAGTAATTAGAGTACGTTAAAACACAGGGCTCTTTATCTGACAATCACTGATCGATCTAGTGACTGGGCTGACACAGGTCGATCATTCGACCCATCGATAAATCATGTCACTGACGAGCTCACCGACTGATTGACATCGGGCCAAATACATGTCTGACACACTGACTCAATTCTCTGAGCCAACGTTCAAGGTTTTACTTTCACCCGGAAGAGTTGAAATGCGGTGGGACCAAGTTTTTCTACACGTCTGTACAGATACATAAAAAACAATTAAGGACAGAGAATTGAATTTGTGTGCACAGTGCACAATTGTGCTTTGTTGAGGAACGTCACTGTTCACCCCTGCCACAGCGACCTGTGGCTTAGTGGCAATCAATTCAGTGCCCATTATTATGGACGTACCGACAGATCACGCACTTTCTCGCGAGGTTACAAGTGACAGCCATGATGAATCATTCACTTCATGCCAGCGGAAGCTTATCTGGGACACGTTTCAAGCCGTCTGTAGCGGCATTGCAATGAGGAAGCTACAATGTCTGCACAGAACTCACAGTTTCAAGATGGCTGTCTTTTGAGTTGTAGCGCCGTGTAGTATGATAGAAGTTTACCAACGTTTCGGAGGTCCTTGCTAACTCCATCGTCAGGGCGATGAATACAGGGCGCTAAAAACGAGAAGGCATCCATATTCGGACACAACGCGGCTAAAACATCAAATCCTACACACAATTTAAAGTTTCTGACGAATCTCTAAATACACCAAATAATTTTCCGGAGAACTTTCATAAACCGAAAAATTTCACGCCCAATTTCTCAAGATAAAGCTTCTGAAGAAACTCTCACTTAAAGAAGTCGTGGCCTGTCTTTATTTTCTACCCCCGCGATCGTTTAAAGGGGCTGAAAACAACTACCAAATACCTGGGGAGATACATGGTCCCACGACTTTGGTTCAAACCAGATACACCTCAAATACGATTCATGTGATTTACGGCTTACATATACCAGCTGCTGGCTGACATAAGAGCATCGGCTGCCAATTTAAAATGGAGATTTAAAGGGTGAATCTAAATGAATTTGAAAGGAAACGGTAGGAACACATTTAAGCGGATATATCGGAATTCTTGTGAAGAAAAAACCCCATAAAAATCCGTCAGGATAGCTGGTTCCTGCGGAATAGAAGTCGGCCACAAACATCACTTAATTAGACGGCTTTAAAGAGAAATTCAAGTAAGGCAAAAAACAAAAGCACTTCAGAAAATTACGTTTAACACATGATTTTCATAAAAAAAGAACACGATTCATACATTATTTAACGACGATGGTCCAACTTAGAAACTTACAAAATCTCACGCGAGATGGCGTGACAATCATGAATGTTGAGTAGGTGAGGATTTAGAAGGATACGTGATATATTTGTAGTGGCTAAAGAACACGACGAAAAATGTCATTCAGGATAGATACCATATTGACCGAGGTTCAAACCGGATACATTCAAATACAAGTCTGAAACTTCAGAAAAATGTCAGGATCTCAAAACACGTGTTAAATGCAAACGAGATGGCACGTACAACTAAAGAAAAAAGAAGGGAATTTCGTATTCCATCCCTGTAAACTGCGTTTATGCTGTGCACGCGTTAATCCTCACGAGCTCGTATTATTTATTATACTTCTTGTTATGCATTACATTTGGCGTGCGTGTCATCATTTGTTTCTTTTCAGTCAAGGTCCCCAAGGTAGCAGAGTCCACAAGTTGACGCAGGCACACAAACTCTTTAGACGTCTCGTTCCATAAAAGGCGGGGAAATTCTTAATTAGCTGAGCGACTGTCAGCTTCTGAAGTCGGCAATGTCGAAATGCACGGTCACTACAACGGCAGTGGCCTCTGACTGGGCATAAAGGATCTCACAGAAACATGAAAATTCTCACTCAGTCAAGATAGACGTTCTCAATGCCCTGTTTCGTACCCGGGGGTCATCTGAAAAAGTATCCTGATCAAAGGCTCCATCTTATAAAGAGAACAAAGATGCGATCGATCGATCGATCTCTCGCATTTTATGTCCACAGTAGCGACTACGTACGGCCTCACCGAGAAAACCCAGCAGCGCCTACTTCGGTAATCAGAACATGAATCGATAAGACACCCCACGTACAAGTTTAACATAAAATTATACATTCACCTAATACGACTATCAATGTTTTTGTACTGAAATACGTCTCACATTACAAGTCACTTTACAAGTCCTAATTTGAAGCGGGTCCCATCGTACG